CACGTGGTCATTTTGTGCGATTTGATTGCGTTGGGTAAGTGATACTACATGTATGTACTTGGCAGCTTCCTCAGCATACTATGACATGGATGGCTTTCAAAACAATTTGAGAGCTAATACCATAGATAAGTGATTATGATTAAAAGAAATGGTATGCTTGATTGAGGGAAGTGCTAATTTACTGACCTCATTTCTATCATCATCATTTTCTGCGATAGTAGAGGAAATAGTTGTAGCAGCTGTTGAAGATCCGGCGGTCCACCTAGCCTTGTGAAGAGCTTCAAACCTTTTACTTTGTTTCTTCCGTGGCATTTTAGATTTAAATTTCAACAATTATATTCACTTGAGTCGTCATCAGTATGCATGTGACACGAGCGTCATTGTCAATGAATGTGTTTTATAGTATGGTAGTAGCTGCAGTAAGATGGCTGCAATGTCGAAATACAAGTTAGGGCCTTAAAACTCCTCACTAATATGTAATGAATATTCATCGTATACTTTTTCGCATTAAAAATATTCTTATCAAATGAATCACAGATTAACTTTTGACTAAACAAATCACATTCAAAATATTTTGCATCATAAATTTAACACAATTAAAATTTCAAATTAAAAATCTTTTTATGATAGTACACTGAAAAGGTTCTGTGAATTTTTAAAGGATAAATTTATCAAACAAAAAAAAATAAAAGTAATGCAAAATTATTGGAAATGTAGTAAGAGTAAACTTTTAAATTTAGGCCGGTGTTGATTTGGCTGACCTGTTGAAATGCTATGGAGAATTGTAGGTAAATTGATAACAAAAAAAAAAATATACATTAGGATCTACTAAATTGCTAAATTTTGAGTCGCAACTGTGATACTGGGATTGTACCCTTAATGATAAGCAGTAGTTTATTTGTGCCTCTGTCATATATGTACATGGTGTTATGGTATATATTTGTTGTTTTAATGTTAAGTGTAGTTATTGTGCTATTAGTTGTAAAAAAGTAGGAAAAAAAGCAACTTGACTGGCACTAAATCCAAAAAAATGCTGCAAGATTAATGAAAATAAACGAGAAATGGAAAGTTTTATATCTAAGAATAGATGAAATGCCAGAGCAAACTACATAAGGCAGTGTAACAGGGTCAAAAGCAAAGCACAAGAATTGCATATAAGATAAGTAGAAAAATAAGATTGCTTCTGCAAGACCTGTTCCAAGAAGTTTCATACTTTGAACCCTGGTTATAATTATATTGCAAAAATGTAACAATTGGTGTAACAAAAAAGGATGCAAAAAATAGTAAGTCAATTTGTTATTCCAAACAATATGTAATGCTAATCCAGTTCCTAAACTGATAAAATCTTTAAATTATTGAAGAGCAAAATTTTCTAACAATCCACAACCAAAGCAGCAACAATATAGAGATTGTTATTTAAAAAATCCGAACCCCGAAAGAAGTAAAACAAAGGAACATTATCAAAAATATCTGGGCCTTAAAAACAAAACTCCTTAAAACGGTATTACAAGAATAGACACGCGATATTACATGCTATGAATAAAAAAATTTCTGAGATATAAATTTTTTGATAATGAAATGGATAAATTAAAAATAACACTAAATAAGGGAAATAAGAGGCGGCTAAACAAAGACTATCAAGATCATAACTATGTTTAAATATTGTATAGATTGCATTCTAATTACTCATTACCTGCACCAAATAGTGAAGCAAAGGAATATTTTACGAAAGTTACTAAAGCAATA